CAAACCGAACGCTGATGAAACATCGTCGAGCTTCGAATTGTTCCGCCGATTAGCGCGGGAAGGTGCGGTTGACGGGACTACAAGACAAGGCATCGATATAATGTTATGTAGAAAACACCACCCGTAATCCGTGTAATTGCACAGCGAACTGCAGGGAGAGCGTAAGCAGGAATGTGAGCAAAATTTTTTGAAACTGCCGCATTTCCTCTACACATCTAATACAGGTCGTATGTGATACTCATTAGTTATTATCCATTATAAGTCACATAGTTATAGATCCCCTTACAGTGTGCAATTACACGGGTGACAGGAAGTTCATATTTTGTGTAATATCCGTTATGTACAATATGGTTCGCTGCGCATGATCGAGCGTCCACGCAGTTGCGTTTGGCCATTCTCTACCGACAGCTGGTGAAAAACGACTGACACGAACGGTACACTATTATCCCTGAGACGGACTGGGCGTTGCTTTTTAACATGACATTGAATGGGTCACTCGTAGGATATTTCGGATGGGGATAACAGTCATCTTGTTCTATGTTGGACAAAGACATGACCACAATTGTGTCAAAATGAAAATATTTCATCAAAAGCGCAGTCAACGCTGCGTTAGCTGTATTACGCAGCCTCGTCTACCACATCAAAGGAGTTTCAAGCGTGTGTTCAGCCCTGCCATTTGCCGCGTTGGCCGAGAGAAAAATAGAAAAGGAACAGGTTGATGCCGCGCCAAACGCAGACCAGGACCACGCTCCATCGTCCGCAGCGCAGCGGACTTGACCCAAAATTCCAAATAAATATTCTTCAACAAGTTGTAGATGGAAAGTCGGTCAAGGAAAGTACTTCCTCGCGCAAAACTGTGATTATAGCAATGGACAGCCTCGTCTTCCACGAAAATGCAAACAATGGACCACCCTCTCTCCTGGATCTAGACAAAAATTCCTTTCTCCATTTCGCCAATCTTTGATTTGCACACGGAATCCTTCGGACAAATGTCTCCTCGACCAGCTTATGTCATCACAAATAACAGCTCTATATGACAAACCTTTTGAATGAAGAACGTTCGGCAGTCATCTCTTGCTGTTTCTGAGTTCGTAAGTACATCATTTGACAGGCATCTGAAAAAGGTTATTAATAGCTACGTCATAGTAAGGTGTGAGGAAGATGATAACAGCAAAGAAAGATTCACAAATGAGCAAGACCAGAATACAACTAAGTAAGGTAAAACTCTAGAAAGAAGCAGAGGAATGGGGGCCGAAAAGAATTTTAGTCGACGACACACCAAATAACCCTTGATGGTGCCAGGAATTGTGACAGATTACCGGCGGGAATTTGAATGCGAAATACTGTTTTTGATATTTCGGGTTTTTCATGAAAGTGAACCGAATTTTTTCGTTGTTCCGGCTATGCTCGTGAAGATTATAGTTCAGAGTACCGAATTTTGAGAGAGATGAAGTTACGCAATTTCCGTGGGCGATTCCTTTAAGATAGTACCCGAGAGGTTACATTCAGTCATACTAGCCATGTGAGAATATGGAAATCACGAGTGGGTTACAAATATGTACAAGCAGTCGACACATTGGCAACAATGCCTTCCTTCTTCCTAGTCATGAGGAGAAACTTCTTCCTAGTCATGAGGAGAAATGAGGAGAAACAGAAACGAGAAACTTCTTCCTAGTCATGAGGAGAGCGATCTGCTTCTACTCACGAAAACTCACGAAAAAAGCGTTCCCGATGCCTCCGAGCAGACGTCTGTGCTAGAGGTGTAAGGGCATGATGCAAAACTGTTGGAATGGCTCGACTGTTCCAGTCTAGGTGAGTGTTTTTGAAACAACAATAAACTTTTTTAAGAATGAAGTAGTCAGGGTAGTTCAATTTTCTACTCATACCGAACCTGGGGTAGAACTGCAATGCCACCATTGTGTCAACGTTCAGCTGGGGCTATGTTCACCGATAGGATTAGTGATTGAGTAGCAAAACAATACTAGATTCGTGACACATAAGAGACGGATCCCGAGTTAATTAGCATAGCTGGCGACATGATGTCATAAGCATTACATACAACAAGCTCCCTTGCTATTACTTTTTGAAAAAACGGTTACAGCGACGAATATCGTAGAGGGCAGAGCGTGCTCTGTAGGTGGCACTGTGTTGACTGCTGTCCAGGGCTTGAACGAGTGCTATGAACGGGCCCTGGGTCAAACTTCCGCAGCAGTACAAGGCACTCGTTCGTCCAGGAATCGAATGCGAAGATGATCACTTGTCCGAATTGGGGAACCCATTGACTGCCAGGCAGACGTATTCTTGAACCGTATCCATCGTCTTTCGTCTTATAAACTGTCGAGGAATACTTTTTTTTTTTGCATAAGCGAAGACTGAAACTGTTTTTATAGCCCTTTGTGATTTTCCGTCCAAGCACGGAGTAAAACTAGTAGAGACTATACAGAGATAACAGTTTGAGTAATATCACACGAAATGAATAAGTCAATGCATGGAACAAAACAAAAAAAAACTACTTCTGCCCAACGTCCAACTTCAGCTCTTCGAAACGCCCTTCTTCAGCTTCACGTAATCGAAACCCCTAACTTCAAAAAAACTAGACCCACTCAACTGTAATCCTCACACTCATCACGTACCATCTCCTCTCTCCACCCTTCATACGAGGGCTGATCAACATTAAATTACGCTCACCATCATCGGTTCAGTAGGACTGAGTCCAACTGAACCGCCTTAAACTACCTCTCACTAAACTACCTAAAAAACCAAGTAAAACTAACTAAGCTAACCAACTATCCCTTACTCGGACAGTAAAAAGGCATCGCGATTGACATTAAGATGAAAACGACGACAAAAAACACAAAAATTAAAAAAAAACGAAGCGGAGGGGTGAGCAGGGCGAAGGATGACGACTGAAGTGTGACTGCAATCGATTTCGCGGGCATCACGTGGTATTTCAAAACAGTGGGTACTGTAGCAATATCGCGTCGGGACCCCAGCTCTGGCCCAGCCGCATCTAGCAGTAGTAGGACTGGGCTTGGCAGGTATCAGGACGACAGCACATAGCAGTAGCACAGGCAGGCAGCAGCTGAGCGGTAGTTGCGTCCTCTGTGACGTCACAGCAGTGTAAATTTATTTTCCCGCCAGTTTGCCCTGCGATAGGACCACGCATGGTCCCGCCACGATTGTTTGCAGCACGACAGACTCCAGTTCAAAGCTCGTCCCTGGGCCGCACCTTCAGTAGTGACGAAACGTGTGACGAACACGTAGGGGGGAATTACTTTATTATTGCCTACACAGATTATATATGCTGATTGTTTATATTCTTCTATCTCGTCTATCTTCTGCCTCCTTTGCCATCATCTTCATTTCCTTCGTCCTCCTTCCTGTTCTCGGCCTTCCCTTTGCTTACCCTGCTACACTAGTTCCCCCAAGTGACACTCGTCACTTGCCTCACCTCTAACGCCACGATACCCTAGAGATTCCAAAGTTCTCCCCCATCTGTTAACTCTTTCCTACTTCTGCACAAACAAATGCCAACAAAACATTTATTATTGCAATTTTCATTCATAACTTTCCAGATCACTTACGTACTATTTTGCTGGGGGCTATCTGGCCCTCTCTCAGTATCTTCTTGCATCCTCGCCATCAGCTGCGTACGCATCATGCGCAACTCTTGAATCTCCTGGCGCATCGCTTGCCGTCGTCTTCGGCCTCCTCGAACTCCCATTCCTCCTCGGGTTCCACTGAAGCTCCTCGATAACGCGGTCATCCACGGAACAGCGGGTTTCCCTGGAGCTCTAGACTCCTCTTGAGCGAACGTAGCCTGAATCTGTAGTTCCTCTAAAATCCTACTAATTCTTTGTCTAAGCTTTCGTGCACTTACATTTGCAGGGAGTGGTCAGGTGTATAACAATCGGTGCTGGGCTGGTTGCGGTGTGCGGTTGTCCTGCAGGCAGCGACACCGGTGACGGCTGGTAGGGCGGCGGCGTCGGTCCGGGCGGCGGTATATACGTCCACATAAATGGCCACCTCACCGCTTCCTCGCCTTTTATCCTCTCCCCACCGCCAACGTGGCTTATCACGTCTATCCTGTTTATACGTGTTTTCGCCCTCACTGATCTTTCCATTTCTTCTACATAGCCCTTCATCTTGTCGGTTAGTTTACGTGTTCGACCCGATCTTCTTTGCGGCAATTCTTCTTCAAGTGTTTGGTTTCTTTTCCGCGTCGTCAACATAGCTTCGTCATCTGGTACGAGCCTCTCTTTTAACTGATCCGTATGTACTTTACGACTGCCTGTCCCAAAGTGAACGTCATACATTCGACTGCCCAGTACTTGAGTGATTATTCCTGGGATCCACTTGTCCCCTTTTTGATAGTTCCTAATATAGACTTGCTAGCCGACAGTAAAACTTCTCTCCTTTCTCCCCCTTTTATTATAGTCGGCAATCATACGCTCTCTATACGCGCTATTACCACTCTCTTTATTTTTCGACTTTACGGATATCTAACGTTGTTCCAAGTTGTCTTCCCATTAGGATCTCCGCCGGAGACTTCCTTGTTGCTGGGTGAGGTGTCACTCTATCCTCAAACAGTAATCCTGCTAAAATACTTCCCGGCAATTTCCCATCTCGCAATCCTTTATACCACCCCTTTTTAAAGGTCTGTACGAATCTCTCAGCTTCGCCGTTTGAATTTGGGTGATATGGCGAGATTAAGGTCAATTCAATATTTCTTCCTTTACAAAACTCCTTAAACGCCGTCGAAGAAAACGGTGGTCCATTATCGGACACAATTTGCTCCGGCAGCCCATGACTTGCAAAAACCATCCTTAACTTTTCTATCGTCTTCTCGGCTGTAGTTATGCCCATGCGGACCACTTCTGGCCACTTAGACTTGGCATCCACCAGGATAAGCCATTTTTCTCCACCCTGCGTTTGGCAGAAATCTATATGTAGCCTTTGCCACGGATTTGCGGGTTCTTCCCACAAGTGCAGTGGCATCTTTGCGGGATCATTACCAAACACAGCACAGGTTTCGCACAACCTGGCCACCTGAACTATATCTCTATCTATTCCCGGATGCCATACTTTGCTGCGTGCTAAACTTATCATTCGCTTCTTCCCATAATGGCTGCTATGTAGCATGTGCAAAACCTTTTTTCTAGACTTAGAAGGTACTATGACTCTGTTTTCCCACAGCAGACACCCATCATAGATTGATATTGCAGCACTCTTGACTGCGAAGGCTTTTAGCTTCTCCTCCACCTTGGGAGGCCAGCCCTTTCTAACATATTGCAAGACCTAAGCAAGCACTGGGTCTTCTGCTGTCGCTTTTGCAACTTCTTCCTCCGATAAGAGGAGGTCCTCAAAGACTTCTTGATCTAGGGCTCTCACCTAGAGCTCACTGATAACTGTTTCGGCACTCGGTAATTCGCGAGGGTCAGGTAACCGTGAAAGACCGTCTGCGTTCCCAAATTCCGCCGTCTTCCGATACTCTATATCAAATGAATAAACCATCAGTCGCAATCCCCATCGATGCAGCCTCTTTGCTGCTATCGTGGGTAACCCATGTTTTGGGCCGAATATCCTCACTAACGGCTGGTGATCCGTTAACAACGTGAACCTTCTACCATATAGGAACTGGTTAAACTTTTCAACACCGTAAACTATGCCCAACGCCTCTTTCTCTATTTGTGCATAGTTCTTTTCTTCTTTAGTTAAGGAACGAGAGGCATAAGCAATTACTTTTTCATTGCCATCCTTATACTTATGGTAGATAACTGCTCCTAGTCCGTAATCTGACGCGTCCGTAGCTAATACCACTGGCACGTCAGGGTTATAGTGTGCCAGCACATCTATTTCAGTTAATCTTTTCTTTATTTTCTCAAACGCCTTCTGAAGCTCTTCGTTCCAACGCCACTCCACTCCCTTTTTCCTTAAAGCATTTAGCGGAGCTGCTAGCATTGACAAATTACGTATAAATTTACCATAGTACTGTACCATACCAAGGAATTCCAACTCTTTGATACTTCCTTGGTGCCGGCATCCTCTGCATTGCCTCTATTTTGTGCGGCGATGGTCTTATACCTGGGGCATCTACTATATGGCCCAAAAATTCCATCTGTGACCTTTTCCGGTCTTTCGAGGTGGGTTTCATCGTCCGGCCCGGTGACGGTTATATCATCTAAATAAATAACTACCCCCTCTATTCCCGCTAACGTGGTTTCCATTATCTTCTGAAAGATAGCTGGAGCGGATGCTATTCCAAAAGCTATCCTATTATACTCAAATAATCCTTTTTGTGTATTCACTGTAGTATATTTTCTCGACTCCTTATCCAATTCGATCCTGCATGTATGCTTCAGACAGGTCCAATTTCGAAAACTTTTGTTCCACCATTTAACATGTGGAACAGATCATCTGGCTTGGGCAGTGGATACTGGTTAATGTCTAATTGTCTATCGTTATCTTACAGTCTCCGCATATTCTAACGTTAAAAACTTCCAGGTTTTTAACGACCACTAATGGAGTAGCCCACTCCGAATGGTCAACTTGTGTTAAGGTGCCATTGTTTACTAGTAGTTGCTCTTCTACTTTAGGCCGTAATGCTAAAGGAACCGGTCGTGCTCTAAAAAACTTCGGCACTGGCTCCATTTTAAACTTGAGCGTAGCTTGGGTGGTTACATCTTCCAAGACCGGGCTTAAATACAATCATTATCTTCTATGATCTTAGCAAGCTTCTGCTCCGGCTTCGGCAGAGGCTTCTCCTGCATTTCATGTATACTCTGATAATGGGGTCCACAATCGATCCTCAAAGCTCGGATCATATCTCTACCGCACAAACTGCGAGTAGTTCTAGTACGTGTAAATCCATCTCGGCTTTTCTGCCATTAAACTGGACCCAAACCGTGCACTTACCGCAGAACTTAATTGGGCTGTTGTTATAAGCTGTTGCCTCAATCGTAGCTTCTGTGAGCGGAGGTTTACCTATCCTTCTCCACGAAGCCACATCTAATATTGATACCGAGGCTCCGGTATCCAATTCGCACGCGACGTCTGTACCATGAATTTTATCTTCAACATGGTGGCTGGTTCTACTCTCACTCTCAGGCACGACTTCCGGTCTGCCGATCGACGCGTCTCTGCGGATCGTCCGACCTGCCACTCCGAGACCCCTTCGGATCTCCTGGCCTGATGCTTTGACTTGACCAGCTCTTCTCTACGACCTTGACGCTCCCTATGAGTCAATCTATCTATATTGTTCTCACTACTGTCACATTCGTCAAGATCGGAGGTGCTGGGCTCCGCACACCAGTTAACCCGGCGGGAGACTTTTCTCACGCCCGACGCTTTCGATCTACAAGCTTTGGCCATGTGTCCAGGTCGAGAACAGTTGGAACAAAATGCTGTTTGCCTCCTTGAAACACTGATAGAAGG